GCTCAACCATTCAATGTTGTCAACATCGAATTTCTACGTAGAAACGGAATGGAATGATAGAGACGTAAATCGTAGAAACGACACGAGACGTAAAGTTTCTACTACTTAAAGGTCAAAATATAAAACTATATATATATATATATATATATATATATATATATATATATGCATGTAAAAAAACATATCACGTAAGTTGTAACAGCCCGTTCTAGAACCGGATTGTTATCATTGCGTACGGCATTAAGCGCAGTTACAATCACATTGGTTCAATTAGAAAACCGGATAAATTTTTCCTCTTTAAACAAGCCGGATTTAAATAGCCAAGTGCGTGATCATAACTATATATACTTCGCGGAATAGTGGGACTAAACTTAATATTATATTCTCATTCTACTTGAAATTACGTCGTTAAATGTCTTCATCACTTTAATTATCAAATTAATTCTAAACTCCTTTCCTGATTCCCATCTTCTACTATGTTATAGTATTTTTCATTAGCTACGCGTGGGTTCAAACCGCGCTCAAATCGGAGCACCGTAACCAAAGTTATGCATTTTCTAAGAAAAAGGTGTGAAATCTCCAGAACCCCGCGCCCGTAGCGTGAGATCCACACCCAGAGCGTGGGAAAACAGAAAGTTGGCGCCCCAAGCGTGGGAGTGGCGCCCTCAGCGTGGATGCTACTGTCTGATCCCGTAATTTGGCGCCCCAAGCGTGAATCTGGCGCCCCAGGCGCCATCCACAGGGCTGGGTGACCCAAAACAAGGTCATTTAACCTACTTATGGTTTTCCACTCATAACTTGAGCTATACTCACTCAAATTACACCATTTTGGTCTCTATGGAAAGCTAAGAGAAATGTCTACAACTTCCATAAGACATCAAAGTCCAATTCCATCACATTGGGTATGAAAATTGGTCAACCGGACAGGATGTATTTGTTTTCTCAACATTTCCCAATTTAAACAAAAGGTACCTAATTGATTCTCAGCTCAACAATCCAATATTCATCATGCATTCATAACCTTGAAGTAAATAGCATTAATACAAGTTTAATTACATAACGGGGAACTTTCAAAAGGCTATGATCATCTCTTGGCTCTCATCAACCAAAGAGATATCCAATGGCATGATCATAGGCTAAGTCCATCAAATATAACGAGATATACATACGTCAATGCTATCAATGATCAATCCTATACATGTAAATCTACAAAATAACATGTATGATCTCAAAACATCATTTTCTTCATGCATGATCTACTGCAAATAAGGCCACTTGCCATCAGAGGCTCCTGCAGCTTCCTTACCTGAAAGGGGGTCCCCACAACACGGGGTGAGATATACGAATATATCCAGTAAACCAGGGGTCCTTGGAGCATCTCTCCACCCCACAGTTCCATATCAGTGTAATAGCAATAACAATAATAATGCAGTAAATACATATCTATGCAAAGTGCAATACATCTCCAGGAGAAATCCCTCGAGCTCTCAAGCTGTCCTAAGGAAACTCAGATGCAAATAGTCCTACTGGCCAGCTAAACTACCAAGTATGATTTACGCATCGTCATGCAACATACCAACATAGGGAAACACCATCCTATGCCACACCAAAGCATACACATACGTATAACAAAGCATTAAACATTTTCATTGCATTTATATACACTATCACAACCACTACCCAATCAGGGCTTGGTGGAACAATCAAGGGAATTACACCCAAGGTCCGAAGGCTTACCTCAAAGCTTCAGCAACCTTTGTTCACCACCAACAGGTTCCACAGTCAGTCAATTACAATACTTCACTTCTCAAACAAAACCTATCCAATGGAGCTAATCAAGCTCCATAGCTTGCTCCAATGGTTGATCACTCATGGTTGGTCCAAATGTCTCAATCCTAGACATCACAAGGACACAATCATCAATCAACCAAGCCAAACCACTGATCATAATTGCAAGAAAACTCTTCAACAAGCATGATAATCTTGCAATATACCAAGTATAGTCATTTAACTAACTAGGCTCATTTTTACCGATTAAGTGACATTCCTAGCATTTTTCACAACATGCTCTAAGCTCCATTCTTCCTAGAACATAGCTAATTTAACAACATTTCATCAAAACCCTAAAACACTATTCATAAACCCTAACTCATGCAATTTCAAAGAATCATGAGGTTCAAGGGTTAGAATCTTACCACCAATGGTCACACAACCAAGGGTTGATGGCTCCTCAAGCTTCAATGGAGGTTGAAGCACTCAAAACCCCAAAATCTCACAAAGAGTCGAATTTTTGAGAGCCAATATCTCACCACACAAATCTCCCCACTAAGAACTAAGCTTGGATCATGAAAGAGGGGAAGATTTAGAGTGGTTTAGGCTTTTGAATCACTCCAATCGGTGGAGGATTGCTCCCTCCTCTCTTTCTCCTTCTCTCTCCCTTTCTTCTCCTTCTCCTTCTTCTTCTTTTCTCCTCTTGTGGCTCGACGGAAATGGGGTGGGAATTGGGTTCTTTTTGTGTTTTTAAGTCACTTACTTAGTTAAGTGACTTATGTGGGTATTGGTTCGTCTATCTATTCAACTCCATTAATTACCAAACTTTACCCAAAAGTCTGGAATATTATTCTAGGAATATTACTATTTTTATTTTTATATTTTGGGCACTTTCGCCAGTACCCATTTATACCCCTTAATTTTCACTGGGTACACTTTTTACTTCCAAAGTGACTCAAATTCATTTAATTAAGTCTTATACTTAATTTTACTCACTAAAGCATGTTTAATTTACTTAATAACCTGTAATTTACTATTTAATTAGGTTAGGGATATTATATAAGTCACTATTCAAAATTCAATGAACAACTTTATATTTAAAAGATATAAATCCTATAACTATATAAGACATAAGTCCGAAAATACACAAAAAAAAATTAACAACTTCTATAACCAAATTCCTAAACATCAAAAGAATAAAGTTTAACAACTCCTAAATGGAAATACAGCCGCCTCTCACAAGTTTTTTTTTTTTTCCAGATAGCTGAAAGAAGATATTGTGCATTTGATTTGAGGAAAATGGAAATAAGGTTTTTTTTTTTTGAAAAATAAAATAAAATAAGGTCATAGGTTAAATGTTGACTCGGTTTAGTTTGTTGGTTTAAGTAAAAACATAGAAACTTGTGTTTCTACCATTTTTACGTTTTTACACGTAGTTTTTACCATTTTTATCGACGAGAGTTTTTACTTGTGTTTTAACACGTAGCACTTCAGTGAAAACGTAAAAGTAAGTTTTTACATTTTCACACTAGTTTTTGACATCAATGCAACCATTGATTCAAGGAGCTCTGAGTCAATCAGAATTGTGGTCCAATTATTAAAAGAAGTAGTAATTTGAAATATAATAAATTACGATCAAATCCAAATTCAAATTAATGAAGCAACAGATATAATTGTAATTTATTTGTCAGGTAAAGGAAAGCAACACATTTGGTATTTATATATAAAATTTGGGACGTGTTTTGAATGATTTAATTGTAATTGTTTATTTATTTTTAGAAGTTAATTACTGTTATATTTATTTTAGAAAAATTTTTATTTTTAGGATTTTAGATTTTGAATTTTGGAACAATTTGCAATTAGTGTATAAAAGGTTGCTTATGCCCCTTATTATAGGAGTTGAATTTTGTTATGTTGTTAATAGAAATTGAGAGCCAGATAGTTATTCTTTTATGAAATTCTAACTTTCTGTTTAGTCACCTTTTACACAGTGGCGGAGCCAAGATTTTATTTTAGCTGGGGCCAAAAAATTTGACACATCAAATTATCAAAACATTTACATAATTACACAAATCTATTAGGAAAAAAATTTACCATTAATTCTAGCATGTTTATCTAAATTATTTACTAAATAATGTCACATAATATTGAAAATTTAAATAAACAATAGGCGACTATTATATATCAAAGCAAACATATAAAAAAAAGTTAACCTTTCCGGCAAGCATTCCAAACAAAAGAATCACACTTTTCTTCCACAGCATAATAAGTAATGAACATGCATTGTCCTAGGGATATAAATACACACAAATATAATAATTATATGTATAACAACATTTAATAAGTAATTTAAAATGTAATAAAAAAATACATACCTAAAATGGTAAACGACGCTCTTTTAAACTGACGAAATCTTCAAAAATAGAATCTGTAGTAAAAGTTTCAGTAATATCTCTTTCAATATACAAAACCAAATTATTTGCAAGAAAGTCATCATCCATTTTGTTTCGAAGCCTTGTTTTCACAATTTTCATTGCTGAGAATGCACGTTCACCACTTGTTGTTGAAACTGGTAGTGTTAAGATAAGACGAATTAGCCTATCCACCAAATGATAGGAATTTGACTTTCCTGTCTTAGCTAATCCTTGACACAACTCAGAAATTGAAGATAAGTTTTGAAGTTCTAAATGTTTTGGGATGTCTTTGTGAAAATGCTTCAATTGACAATTCAAAATAATTCTCTCTTGCTCAGAAAAATCAAGAGGATAGTATTTCTCTGCAAGGCTACAAATATCATCAAACATTAAATTCTTTCTAACCATTCTTCGGATCTAATGAAGAGCTAAGGGATAAAAGTTCCATTGTTTGCTCATTAAATCTTATATCTAACTCTTGTAATTGAAAGTCAATAGTTGAATTAAATATATCAAAGTGATAGTGATGCTCAATAGTTATTTGATCATGCTGTCGACGGCCACGACCTTCAATATATTGAGTATCAAGATCTGGAACATCTATTTCATGAAGCTTGGAGAAATTCACAACACTTTCAAGTATTCTTTTCCAACCATCATCTCGTAATTCTTGAATAAGTTCCTTTGTACTTGAAACTAATTGTATAACATCCAAAATATCTTGAGATTTTTGTTGTAATGCCTGACAAAGAATTTCAGTGATGCCCATAATCTCTTTCATCAAAAGTAAATTAAAGATAAACTCAAAAGAAGTGATCATCTTATAAGCTGCAGTAGCATCTCCTCTTTGAGAGTAATTTGAGCCTTCACTACGAATTTTTCAAGGACTGAACACGATTCATTATACCCTCGTTGAAGACTACATATAGAATAAAAATGAGAACCCCATCTAGGATCACTAGCCCTCTTTAGTGTACCTACTTGGTTAGAACCTGTCCAAGTTTCAAGCTCATCAATAGCCTGCAAACGTTCAAATTCAAAAATTTGGGCAGCTTGGAATTGATCATGACGCTTAGAAGAAGCATTGATAATATTAATGATGAAATTCAAATTCTGAAAGAATTGATAAACAGAAGAAACTTCCTTAGAGGCAGCAATCAAGGCTAATTGTAATCAATGAGCAAAACAATGCACATAATAAGCACAAGGACATTCTTTAAGAAATAATGCTTGCAATCCATTCCATTCACCACGCATGTTACTAGCACCATCATATCCTCGGCCATGGATATTCTGAATATCAAGACAATGATGCGAGAGTATTTCACTAATAGCATTTTTAAGTGTCATAGATGATGTATCTTGAACATGATAAAGATCAAAAAATCTCTCTTTAATGAAACCATATTTGTCAATAAATCTCAAGACAAGAGCCATTTGTTCCCTTTTGGATTCATCACGTGCTTCATCCACAATAATACAAAACTTAGAGTCACCAATATCTTTGCAAATCTGTTTTCGCACTTTGTTTGCGAGAACATATAAAATCTCCTTTTGTATTTGAGGTGAAGTATATTTGGCTGTCAATGGAGCATTCATTAGAACAACATCTGCGACATTTTCATTGTAAGATGCCAAAAGTTTGATCATTTCAATAAAGTTACCACTATTTCTTGAATTAATAGTCTCATCATGCCCTCTAAAATCACATCCTTGAAAAGCAAGCCAACGAGCAACATCAATTGAAGTCTTAACACGCAGCCTATTTTTTTCAATCTGTTAGGAGCTTTTAGCATGCATAACTTTATCAATATGGCAAGACTGATTCATTAAATCTACACATGAGACAAGTGCATTAGTATGTAGTGAACAAGGATCATCTCCCATGTGACTTAAAAAAACACAATTCTTTCCACCATGAACTTTTTTCCAAGTATTAAAACCTTTGATTGTGAATGCAACCATGTCGCCCACCGGCCTTTGTAGTGAAAAGATAACACGGTAAACAAAATGCAGCATCTATAGAAGGTGAATACTCAAGCCACGAAGAAAATTTTTTGAACCAAGAAGCTTGAAAACGTCGAAGATGCTTTTCCTTTGAAAATGGGTAGGAGCATTGAGGTTGATATGGCCCAACCATTAAATAAGCTCTTTGTATCTCATCGACTTCATTAGCTGAATATTCCCAAATTGGCTTACGTTTGCCTGGATCACGTTCAAAAAATTTATTTCTGACTGTAATAATGTCATCAGTATGTTCAATTCTGCGACACTTGGAAGGAGGTTGCTCTTGAGAAGGTGCATCACTTTCAGAAATTATGTTTGTAGGAGCATCACTTGATTTACTTTCAGAGACTACTTTTTTTTTAAAGAATACATCTATACTTTTATGTTTAACCTTGCCCATACTTTTTCAACCTACATGTTAATTTGTAGTTAGACATTTCATGGGGAGAGGTTTAAGGCAATTTCGAAATGCCTTATGCATAAGTCCAAAATCCATCTAAAGAGAGTGGTTGAGAAATCTGTAAGAGTATGAATATACCGGACAAGAAGTTAAGCTGATAGCTAGCTTCACCAACTCTAGGTCACATGCTATGTCCACGTGAGTTGCTCCCCCTATAAGCACATGGCATTTCAATACATAGTCACTGACATTAGTATGTTAGTTTGTAATGTCAAATACTTCATAGAAGAAAGCATAAGAAAATAATACCATTTACAATTTGGTCAAAGATTTATATTAGAAATTCATGCAGGTGCGCAGGAGGAGTCCCATTTCCAAACACAACATCATTCTAAATGTCCAGAGTCTAATAACAAGGAGAATAATTCATATGCATAGTTCTTGAGTCATCTATCAGCTATCAGATACAAAACCAGTGCATGAATTCTAGATCTTATTTTTCCGTGGATGAATAGTACATAACATACAGAGCTGAAGAATTGGGGGAAATGTAAAAAGAGAGAATAAAGAACCTTATCTGCAGCAATGACAACATAGACAACATTGTCTTTATTAAAATTCTACAAGCCTGAGATAATCTTCAAAAGAAGTCAAAGGTTTGTTAAGTGTTAACATACATAGAATTAAAACACCAAAAAAATCTGACACATAATTAGACTTCAATGAATGAATTCAACGAAATAATGAAAAAAAAAAACGGATATTGACGCCATCATTATGTAGGCCACCTAAGTAAGTGGTTATATCTTTTGTCCTCAACAGGATTGGCCTTAAGAAACATCAAACAAACATGCTAAAGACACTATACATACAGAGAGAAAAACTACATTTTTGGTGAATAAAATCAACATAATGAGAACAGAGAACATAAAAGGAAAAAAAAAAGGGTTTTGCTATATACCTTGAGAGCTCTTTGTTCTTGGAAATCCTTCAAGACAGATTCTTTGGTGGATGAAAGTAGAGCTCTGGACAACCGCGAGAACATGAAGACACCGCTGTGCTGGGGTCTCCAAGAAGGGGAAAAATTTTAACTTTAGAAGGGGCTAAATAATAATTAATTATATAAATATATATAATAAATTTTTTTAAAAAAGTCAGCAGGGGCCCAGGCCCCATCTAGGGACTAAGTGGCTATGCCACTGCTTTTACATGCGCTTTTTTGGTATCATTTAGTATCAGAGCACTAGGTTGCCTTATACCAATGGCTGAACAAAGAATCGTAGAGGTCATCGATGACGGAGTTATGAAGGCAAGAGACGTGAATCCGTTCATAAAGAAGATAGACAACCGTGTCAAATAGACCCGCGTGACATAGAAAATGCAGAGTTCAGAATTTGAAGTGACAATTTGAGCAGGCATTTTCGAACGACTATTTGTGCGGGCGCAGAGAAAGAAAATCCAAATTTTGAAGCGACATCTTGTGGAGTTGCGGAGCATGAAAATCCAAGGTTTGGAGCGTCGACTTGCGCGAACAAAGTTGGGTATTCAATCCAAATAAGGACTGGAATTAGAGAATGCATCTAATGACGAAGAGAAGGACGTTAATCATTCGGGGATCCTAAACCAGAGATAGAATCGGGAAGTACGACCTAAAAACTAGTCCTTTTTTCAAGATATCGAGATGCAAATCAACATTCCTGACTTTGATGTCTATGATCATAACATAGTTTATGATAATTATCTAATTTATAATGATTATCCCATTTAAGATGAAAATTCAATTTGTGATGATAATCCAGTCTATGATAAATCGAATGGAGAATCTGATGATAAAGATCTAATAAATAAAGAATTATCAATTGAGTTTTTAACTAAAGAAGATTCGAGGACGAATCTTTTCCTAGCATGAGATAATGATGCACTTACTGATAGGAGTGTTCATCAACCGATCCAAACCGATTCAAACTGCAGTGATCGAACCGAAAAATTGATAATCGAATAAATTGAAAATTGAAAAATCGAAAACTGAAATAAATCGTAAATTTTAATTGGATTGATTGGTTTTCGAATTGGTTGATGAAAATCGATCCTAACCGATCCAGTATATTAATTCCCCTCTACCTACTTGGGCTTTTCCGCAATCGTAGCCCAAAAATTTCTAAACCCAAGACCCATTAACTAAACCCAAGAAAAAACTTAGTCACATCTCATTAACAAAATTTCATCTGTGTAGAGCTTCTTATCTCATTGCCCAAAAAAAAATTATATTATCATTTACTGAAACTTTTGTATTTCAAATTTTTTTTACTAAGCCAATATATACAAAAGATGTTATTTGCACAATAATTATGAAACAAATTTTAGGATTTTCAAAAAGTCAAAAATCGATCATATCCAAACCAAAAAAATTGGATTGGATCGGATCAGATTTTAAAAAAAAATCCAAAGTGAATGGATGATTACATGATCAAACCGAAAGGATTAGCTCGGATGATTTTTTATTCCAAAATCGATCCAATCCAGACCGCGAACACCCCTACTTACTGATGGCCCATTGCATATAGTTCAACCTTTGATTCAAGAAGCTCACAATTAACCATAATTGTGGCCGAATAAGTATGGTACAATTGTTAAAAGAAGCACTAATTTGAAATATAATAAATTATGATCAAATCTAAGTCCAAATGAAGCAGTAGATATAATTGTAATTTGAGATATAATTGTGATTTTGTTTGGCAATAAAAGGAAAGCAACACATTTGGCATGATTTGAGATATAAGATTTAAGACGTGTTTTGAATGATTTAATTGTATTTGTTTATTTATTTTTATAAGTTAATTACCATCATATTTATTTAGGGATTTTTCTTATTTTTAGAATGTTAAATTTTGAATTTTAAATTTTGGATTAATTTGTAATTAGTCTATAAAATGACACTTCTGACTCTTATTGTAGAAGTTAAATTTTATTATTTTGTTAATAGAAATTAAGAACCAAAGAATAATTTTTTTTTATAAAATCGTAACTTTTTATTTAGTCACATTTTTATACACTTTTCCGCGTCACCATGCAACTCATGACATACATCAAGACGCATAAAAGTGGCCATAGTATTCACAGTTATAGCATAAGCTTCTTGAATTTCCCACATATGGATCATAAGATGGTTCCACTCCAAGTAGCCAAGGCACTTTTATATATATATATATATATATATATATATATAGGGCTTAACATTTCTGCAGCAACCGTAGATAGTGTTATCTACAGCTGACACAGAAAAGTGGGCCCCACGGCTATTTAAGAAAAAAAAAAAAACCCAGGATCCGTTGCCGTATCCTAGGATTCGGACGCGGATCCTTGCTTGCTGTAGGTACAGCAGCTGCAGAAATCATTTTGCCATATATATATATATTATTTTATTTTTTTCTGGATTGAAGTTATATATATAAATATGGAAATGAATTATCAAATAATATACTCAGATTATTTGAGATGGTCTCAACTGTTATAAAAAAAAAAAAATTTATCTGACTCCAAATAGCAAGGCATTTTTTTATACTTACTGTTCTCTCTATCTAAATTGAAGTTATATATGAAACGTTTTTCTTTGAAATGTTTGTACCAAAAAAAGGGGATGAATCATTTCATGTCTCACTTGGCATAATTAAATCAACTCATGAGATATGAACATTCAACGATTATCTTTCTCATTCTCTATTCTTAAGTGCTTTCTCTTATAGTTAAAATTATCTTATATGAACTAATTGATCATATCAAATAGATATGAAAAGATCCATTCATAAAAATGAAAGATAACTTGTTACATTGGCTACTTCATGCATTATTTGTCTCTATATGTTTGAGTCAGCTCGACCATGATATAAAAACTTCATTCTATAAAGTGTAAACAAAATATCGAAAAAAAACCCCTTGAAAAAAAAAAAAAAACTGTGTTTGTCTCTCTCTGTGGATTACCCTGCACAACCACAAATCGTCACTAATGACGCTTTTGCAGAAACATTATTATAAAGTCAAACATGTGAATTTCCCTTTCAACATGTCACTCCACCTTCCTTATAATAAGCCTCTCCACATGCAATCAGGAATCACCAAAACCCCACCACTTCACACTACAATCTCTGATTCCTATAAATGCATAATAACCTCCCCATATTGAATAAGAAGGCCACAAAGCAGGTCTTGGAAGCAAGCACAAAGAAGAAGCCACACACACACACACTAGTGGTCAGAGAATCTTACTGTGAGGAAGGTGGCAAATGGATGGGGATCACAACACTGTTTCCATGGTTAGCAAAAAGAAGAAGAACAACAACAATGGCTCTATGAGGTCCATTTTCATGCATGCTGATGGCCTAGACTGGTTTTTCATGGTTTTAGGTGTCATTGGGGCCATTGGTGATGGCATAGGTACCCCTTTGGTGTTGTATGTCACTAGCCATATTATGAACAATTTAGGCACTTTTTCTAGCAATGGAGGAAACACTTTTATCCATGACATCAATAAGGTTCTTTTCTCTCTTTCTTTCTTTCTTTCTCTTTTACTAGCTCAACACACACAGAGAGAACATGAAAAAAAAAAAAAAAAGGAGTATAGCTAACTTGGTTTGGCTTTATTGATTTGTGATGTAGAATGCACTGACTTTGGTATATATGGCTTGTGGGTCTTTTGTTGCTTGCTTCCTTGGTGAGTTTTCAGTTTTGCTATGATTTTGATCATTTTGTCTCCTACAAAAGGTATTAACATGTGTAATACTCTCTTCTTGCTTTTACTTTTTGGGGAATATTATCAGAAGGTTATTGTTGGACAAGAACAGGTGAAAGACAAGCTACGAGAATGAGAGCAAGGTACTTAAAAGCAGTGCTGAGACAAGAAGTTGCATACTTTGATTTGCATGTCACAAGCACTTCCGAGGTCATCATCAGTGTCTCTAGTGACAGCCTCGTAATTCAAGATGTTCTTAGTGAAAAGGTGACACCAAAAACAAAAACAAAAAAATCATAACATTAATTAATTACATTTGTGACATTAATTAATTAACAGTTAATTAATTTCTTCTAATTTGTAAAACTTATATAGGTTCCAAATTTTTTGATGAATGCCTCTATGTTTGTTGGGAGCTACATAGTGGCTTTTGCATTATTATGGAGATTTGCCATAGTGGGGTTCCCTTTTGTGGTTCTACTTGTGATCCCTGGTTTAATTTATGGAAGGACTTTGATGGGGTTGGCTAGAAAGATCAGTAAAGAGTATAATCAAGCTGGTACAATAGCAGAACAAGCAATATCTTCCATCAGAACTGTGTATTCCTTTGTTGGGGAAAGCAAGACCATAGTTGCTTTCTCTGATGCTCTTGAAGGTTCAGTTAAGTTGGGATTGAAACAAGGCTTAGCTAAAGGCTTAGCCATTGGAAGCAATGGTGTTGTCTTTGCCATCTGGTCTTTCATGTCCTATTATGGTAGTAAATTGGTCATGTACCATGGTGCTAAAGGTGGAACTGTATTTGCAGTTGGAGCATCCATAGCACTTGGTGGATTGTAATTATACCTATACCCTTTATCTCATTTCCATTCAATTTGGCTAAAAAAAGTTTCATAATTATTTTGTAAGCTAATTAAGTGTATATTTTTTGTTACTATTTTCTTTGTGACACAGAGCATTAGGTGCTGGTTTATCCAATGTGAAGTACTTTTCAGAGGCTAGTACTGCAGGAGAACGCATAATGGAAGTGATAAAAAGGGTTCCTAAGATTGATTCCGAGAACATGGCTGGGGAGATTCTGGAGAATGTTTCAGGGGAAGTGGAATTTTATAATGTTGAATTTGTGTACCCTTCAAGGCCAGATAGCATTATATTGAAAGATTTTTGCCTTAAGGTTCCAGCAGGGAAGACAGTGGCCTTAGTTGGAGGGAGTGGCTCAGGAAAATCAACTGTGGTATCACTTTTGCAGAGATTTTATGACCCAATTGGGGGAGAGATACGTGTTGATGGGGTAGCTATTCAAAGGTTGCAACTCAAATGGCTGAGGTCTCAGATGGGTTTGGTTAGCCAAGAACCTGCACTGTTTGCAACCAGCATTAAGGAGAACATACTATTTGGAAAAGAGGATGCTACAGAGGAAGAGGTTGTGGAAGCTGCCAAAGCTTCCAATGCTCATAATTTCATTTCACAGTTACCACAAGGATATGATACTCAGGTTAGTGCTGCTTGTCATTTGTTTACTAACACAATATTTGAGGCACTTTAGAATGATTGTAGGTTACAGTATTCTAAAAAATCAGGCTTATTAGTACATTTATTGATGGCAATTCAAGTAACCATCAATATGCATCTTATTGAGCATATTTGGAAGACATCTGCATTTCGAGTAACAGTAACCATTTGGACAAAAAAATTATCAGACTGCTACGTCAACAGTAAATTATGTCGCGTGGCATTTTGATAAAATTTACTGTTGGCGTGGCAGTCTGATAATTTTTTTGTCCAAACGTAACACTTTGGTCACTGTCCCTGCATTTCGATCAGTCTAATTATTAACACATGGCATCTCTTTGCTAACAACTAAGTTAGGTATATAGTGGGTTAGGAATCATTTTGATTGGCAAATTATTGACTCAACTTTAACATATCAACTTATAATAAATACATAAAATAAACCAAATGTGACCGATGTGTCAAAACATGTTATAACACGTGGGTCGACCCGTAATACGACATAATTAATTCGTGTTAGGGTTGAATCGTAAAAAAATTCATGTCATGTCGCGTGTTATGTCGTATCAACACAAATTCAACTCATTTTTAAAAAAAAAAATTTGTTAATTATTCCCATGTTTTATATCTTATCGTATCAATCTGTAAAAAATTCATGTCATGTTCATATTGTATGTATTTGTGTCTATCCTTTTTGACATTTTCTCTAATTTTTATTCATATTATTAGCACATAGCATCTCTTTCAAAGCAAAATCTTACGACAGCTCATGACGAAACAAAAATATTAAAAAATATACAAAGGCATATACTTACTGTACATAGTAGTTAACTTATTTTTTTGGTAGTTACAGTTATCTTATTATTACAAATATGTGATTTGGAAAAAGTCAAAAATATTTATTTATAAAAAAATGTGCGAAATTTCATATTCATTACACCTAACTTATTAGTGATCTAACCAGAAAGAACATGATTCAGGTAGTTGAAACAGTATAAGAAACATTATCTGTCTGTTTATACGTACCAATCTAATAGTTTCATTTAAAAACTAATCCACATGAAAGTGACTCATGGGAAAGATATAGTACTAACTTCTCAAGCGAAAGATATACAAGGACATTAATCGTTGACTTTACCGAAACAAATAGACAATTACCTATATACCCTTTCACACCTACTCTAACACTGTCATTCTTTCATTTAAATAAATTATTGATTTTACACAAATCATGACAACATTTTATAATAATAACTGGACAGAACCCTTCCCCCATACTTTCTATTTTTGTATAGATTCAGTGTTCTCGGTAATTTAAGTCCATTAAAGGATCATTAACAAGTACTAGTGGACAAAATATTTGATTAATAAAAAATGTGGTCATTGTCACTTAGGAATAAATTTTCGGCATTTCAAAGGGTATGGATGCTCTCAAATTTAGCTGCCATGTGAAATAATTTTAATAGTTCATAATCGATTCTTCAGTCTCTATCATAAATATGCTTCTCTCTCTTTTTGTGTTCATATAAATGATTATGATCGTTTACCATTATAGGGTACAATATTGTAATATATAAAATACTCTATAACCATCAAGCACATATATCATTTGTTTTGAATTGTTTCAATTTAATCATAGTCTCAAGTTTAAGTCCTAAAAATACAGTTATATTAAAATTTGATAAGGAAAGTTTTGACACTTCACTTGTGAAAATTTACTCGTCATTTAGCATTTTTTCCTTCTCTCAAAAACCAAAATTGACTCAATCTAAACTCTGACAAATCTATTAACAAAAAAAGATTACATGCATACAAGGAACAAATCTTTAGTATTATCGTCCCTGGCTGCTATAGTAATATTATAACTATGTAATTCAGGAACTACGTAGTTATAGTATTAAGTTTTTTTCCTTTCTGTTTAGAAATTTGTCGGCTAATGTGTCACGTTCTTACTGGTACGATGTATACATATAGTAATATTATAGCTATGTAATCCAGGAATTACGTAGTTATAGTATTTAGTTTTTTTCCTTTCTGTTTAGAAATTTGTCGGCTAATGTGTCACGTTCCTACTGGTACGATGTATACATATGACCACCGGAGTACTAAAGATTTATTCGCAGGTAGGGGAGAGAGGAGTTCAAATGTCAGGGGGACAAAAACAAAGGATTGCTATTGCAAGAGCAATAATAAAAAAACCAAGAATTCTTCTACTAGATGAAGCAACAAGTGCACTAGATTCTGAATCAGAACGAGTTGTTCAAGAAGCTTTAGACAAAGCAGCAGTGGGACGCACCACTATCATCATTGCTCACAGATTATCCACCATAAGAAACGCAGATGTCATAGCTGTCGTTCAGAGTGGGAAGATCATGGAAATGGGGTCACACCACCAACTCATCCAAAACGACAATGGACTTTACACCTCACTAGTTCATCTCCAACAAACAGATAAAACAAACAATGAACAAGACGACACTAACGTTTTCTCTCATCCTAATTCATCAATAACATCAAACCGGGACATTATTCAAAACACAAGTAGTCGTAGACTTTCCCTCTTGAGTCGTTCTAGCTCTGCAAACTCTGTTGCTCGTGCTTCATTTGGTGCTGCTGCTGGTGGTGATGATGTTGTTGAAGAGGTTGTATCAGAAGATATGAAGCTACCTATTCCCTCGTTTCGAAGGTTGTTAGCATTGAACATCCCTGAGTGGAAGCAAGCATGTTTAGGATGTTTGAATGCGGTTTTGTTTGGTGCTGTTCAGCCTGTGTATGCATTTGCAATGGGGTCAGTGATATCTGTTTATTTTCTCACAGATCATGATGAGATCAAGAAGAAGACAATGATTTACTCGCTTAGTTTTTTGGGGTTGGCTATTTTCTCGTTTGTTGTTAATATCCTTCAGCATTATAGTTTTGCTTACATGGGTGAGCACTTGACCAAAAGGATCAGAGAGAGAATGCTTTCCAAGATACTCACTTTTGAAGTTGGGTGGTTCGATCAGGACCAAAATTCCAGTGGTGCTGTTTGCTCTAGGCTTGCCAAAGAAGCCAATGTGGTATGTTTCTTATTACTTTTTTTTTGCCTAAGATTTTTATGCATTATTAATTGCACCTTTGTGTACGTTTTCTTTTTTGTTCATGCTGTGATGAACAAATAGTTATGTTTCAAGAAAAGGGGTTTTGGAATTTTATTGTTGTTCATATTTTTATTTTCTTTTTTGAGTAATTGTTTGTGTTTTCTGTTCCGGGTTTGTAACTCGGATAGGCCTATTTATTCATAACCGAGAAGCCAGTACCTGAATAAGGTAACCGAGTAGATTTTGAGCCCGTATATTCGGAAGCACTAATCATAGCCTTAATTCACGTTTCTATCCACATATACAATGATATACCACGATTCTTATAATTGCCAAGTTGGTAACTGTCCTATATCCACTAATAATAACCGTTAATATAACATATATAAAGGAGGAATTGAAGAGGAAGAAATTAAATTCAGATTACGGAGAATCACCATCAAACCAACCTAACCTTTAATGTTCATATTGAACATTTTCATTCATTTTAGGCCACGTATCTCTTTATCTATGTATTTCATGATTTAATGTCTAGCTTGTGCATTATGATTGTGACTCAATTGTTGGGAATTCTGTTTTTTTAACTTTGTTTTCACTTGTGTTGTGGTGTTTCACATTACAGGTAAGGTCTTTAGTGGGGGACAGAATGGCTCTAGTGGTACAAACTATATCAGCTGTGGTAATAGCCTTCACTATGGGCCTAGTCATTGCATGGAGGCTTGCCCTTGTTATGATAGCCGTGCAACCCGTTATCATAGCATGCTTTTACACAAGACGTGTCCTTCTTAAGAGCATGTCAAGTAAGGCCATGAAGGCCCAAGACGAAAGCAGCAAGATAGCTGCTGAAGCTGTTTCCAACCTTAGAACCATCACTGCCTTTTCTTCCCAAGACAGGATCCTCAAAATACTAGAAAAAGCCCAAGAAGGCCCAAGACGTGAAAGCATTAGACAATCATGGTTTGCTGGAATTGGGCTTGCGTGTTCACAAAGTCTCACATTTTGCACCTGGGCTTTAGATTTTTGGTATGGTGGTAAGCTTGTGTTTCATGGGTACATCAAAGCCAAAGCACTATTTGAGACTTTCATGATCTTGGTGAGCACGGGTAGGGTCATTGCAGATGCTGGTAGCATGACCAATGACCTTTCTAAAGGATCAGATGCTGTGGGCTCAGTTTTTGCAATTCTAGATAGGTACACAAAAATTGAGCCTCATGATATAGATGGGTACAAGCCTGAAAAGTTAACAGGCAAGATAGAACTCCATGATGTTCATTTTGCATACCCTGCTAGGCCCAATGTAATGATCTTCCAAGGCTTCTCAATCAAAATTGATGCAGGCAAATCAACTGCATTGGTGGGACAAAGTGGTTCTGGCAAATCAACAATCATAGGCTTAATAGAGAGGTTCTATGACCCACTTAAAGGGAAAGTGACCATAGATGGTAGAGACATAAAATCATATCACCTTAGGACACTGAGGGAGCACATTGCACTTGTGAGCCAAGAGCCAACACTGTTTGGTGGGACCATAAGGGAGAACATTGCATATGGAGCATCTAATAAGGTTGATGAAACTGAGATCATAGAGGCAGCAAGGGCAGCAAATGCTCATGATTTCATTGCTAGCTTAAAGGAAGGTTATGACACATTGTGTGGGGATAGAGGAGTGCAAATTTCTGGGGGTCAGAAGCAAAGGATTGCAATAGCTAGAGCCATATTGAAGAATCCAGAGGTGTTGTTGCTGGATGAAGCAACAAGTGCCCTTGATAGCCAGTCAGAGAAATTGGTGCAAGATGCTCTTGAAAGGGTTATGGTAGGAAGGACTAGTGTTGTGGTGGCTCACAGGTTGAGCACCATACAAAACTGTGATCTCATTACTGTGTTAGATAAGGGAAGGGTGGTGGAGAAAGGGACCCACTCTTCTTTGTTGGCTAAGGGACCTAGTGGAGCTTATTACTCTTTGGTAAGTCTGCAAAGAAGACCAACCATCACTAGTGCTGACTCTGCACATGAAATCAGCTAACCAAACCAAATTGGCATGTCTATTTGAGATTACAATAAGACCTCTTTTTTGAGTTTAAGGGGAGATGATTACAAAGAAGAATCATGGGAAGAGGAAGAGGGAAGGGAATGCTTAGAAAAAATAGCACAAATGCCATATTATATGCTTATATTGTAAGATAATTAAATCCTTTTTTAACTTAAAAATGTATGTAGTCTTTGATCTCGGCTCCCTAAGATTAAAATCTTGGCTTTGCCCTTGAAACTGAGGAGTTGGGGGGGATGACACTTTGAAGTTGTGCAGTATTTCTTGTTTGCAATTTGTATTAATGTGCCTAGCTATAACGTCATTTTTGCTGAAATGTATATATAATTATGTATGGATGGATGTTACCAACATCAAGTCTTGGAGTAAAATTTTCTTTCAGATATGATTACCAAGTATCATTTCCATTCCTAAATGATCATAAGAGATCTTTTTTCAACAATAAGTAAATATATTGTTGCGAATGTTAAATTAAATAATTGAAGAATCCTTGTCTTTTATCATGAACATACCTCACTTTTAGGCACTTGACCCATTGAGAAAATTTCTCATTCTCAAAACACCACCCAAAAGGCTATCATTGACAGATAGTAAGTGCTTCTTCAGCTTGAGAGTTTATATACATGTTTGCATTTGTTGCTTCGAGTTGCACGAATATGATGAAATCCCTTGACCACAAGCAATTATTTAACAAGTTGATATATTTATTGGTCCAGAAGCTTCAAGTGAAAGATGATCTTGTTGGGCTTTTCCTCCTTCCTTCAATGGTGCACAAGGTCCAATGTTATTTTGTGGGGCTCAAGAAACTCTAGTTTCCATTTTTCATATTATAGAATTTCCCTTCCTCTCCTATATAAGCTTGTGGTATGAGAGGTTAGGGTTACACAATGTGAGACAATTTCGAGAGCAGAAGCTTGAGTATTAGACCTCCTTACGGAAGTTTGAGAGAGTACCACTATCGTAGGTGAGATTTGAGTATACTACAATTGTTTGTGAAGTTTGATATCTTGTACCCATTATTTTCATAGTGAAAGTTTGGTTCTGGACTAGTATAGCGTGGATTTTTACTTCTTTACATTGAGAAAAGTTTTCTTACATTAAAAGATTATTGTATTTTTTTCTGTCTCTCTCCTCTTGCATTTTTTCTATTTTCGTTATGTACAGACCGACCTGGTGACTTTGGCCGACCTCTGATTGTGATTGCTTAGCTCCGAGCTCAACGTTTGATTTGCGACACACTTCCCTACCGAGTCATGGAAACCGAGTTCCCAAAAACTCTAACGATGTTAACGATAAAGTTGGATGAAAAAAATCATATGATTAAAAAAAAAGAATGGGATAAGTGATTCAAAACGAAAGTATATGAGATTTTTGGAACATTAGTTTAAAAACTATATGAAAGTTTCAAAGAAAATTAAAATGATGGTCACTTAAAAACACTTGTATTATTTTGGCGGCTGCTGCTGCTACTTTTCAATCACTGATTGGAGTGTCTGGGAAGAATATATTGAACACTCAGGAAGATGATACATCATTTGCTGCTAATATAGCACTTTCGACAAAAGCAGCATATATATGTTTCAACCTTAATCGAGTGTGTGTCTCTGAGTGATGGTTAGGTTATGCTATCTTTACTGTTTATGAGGGGGGATACAATTAATCAATTATGCTATACCATTAGCATTTTTGTAATTAAATACCTGTATATACTCTTTCCTCTATGAGGGGGAATTGCATAATAAGATTATCATAATAAATCAAGATTAATAGGCACCTTAATCAATTCAATACTGTTCCGGGTTAACACAGCGAGCTAGACGTGCTTCTACAAATGAGATACTCGGAACCAGGAATAGGCGAGTAGGCATGTCCCTAACTGCTGCACGTACTGGAGTAGCAGTCAGTTGAGTCAGCCAGCACTTCCAGTAAGGGAGTCTTAAGTGGGCCTGCCACGATGTCATGATGGTAACCACCAATCCCACGACACAGGTAACCGTTCCAAGACTACACCTATATATAGTCTAAGGATTAAGATAAGAGAGGACATTAACTACACAGAGAATCCAGATTAATGTTCGTCCAGAACAAATACCACCTTTAGAAAAGGCACACACCAATCAATGACATGAGCATGTTACCATTTCAGTTTCTAAAAGAGACCTAAATCATATAAAGTATCAAAATTCAGAATAACTTGTCTTCCCAAAATAACTTGTAATTTGTCTTTCCATAACTCCAGTTCAAACTCAAATAAGCGACGATGTGGGAAGGAATTGAACAAGAGAATTAATTCCATTTCAGTTTCTTCATAATATCAAATATTGAAATTCAGAATAAATCACTACCTAAAAATTAAAAAAACAAAAAACAAATTCCTATTTCAGTTTCTAAACGACCTAAATCACATCAAATATAGAAAATCAGAATACATTGCTAGTTAAAAATAAAAAATAATGTTATCAAAAAAATAAAAAAATAAAAAAATCCCACATGAATATAATAAGATGGTCACAGTGAATCACATCAGCGTCCAATTTGTATCTGATAATGTTTTCGCACATGAATATAATATAGAAATCCCACATGAACATAAAAATGCGATACATCTCCTTTTTTTTTAATAAAAAAAAAATACATAGTGAAGTCCACGTGTTTTTTTTTTTAAAAAAAAAATTGCATTTTGAAATCATCAGAATTTTGGAATCCAAAAATTGGAAGAGTGATTTGAAAATTATGGGCCCAAATAAGAGAAGGAAAACAAATCAAAAAAAATATATATATGTATCCAAAAAAGAAAGAGTTATATACTTATATATAGACAGAAAGAGAGAAAACATAACTATCAAAATGCAAAACACAGGTTAAAAGTGAAAAGTGAAAACCCATAAAATAAAAAAGGTAAAAAAGAAAAAGAAAAAAGGATGTGCTTAATCCATGGATTAAGTAGCATTAAGCATTAGGAAAGTACCCACCCAACAAGGTATCATAAACGGGACCAACAAAACTAGGAATCAACCATCACACATGCCAAACAAAAACATAAACACATAAGCTATTCCTCATTCTTCGCATAAATTTACTTTACATAAGGAATAACGATACCATCATATCTTGATAGTTGATGTATATTAGAACATTCTATCATTGGCAAACTCCAAAATGAACAATGCATACAGGAGGTAGAAAGGAAAAAAAAAAAAAACTGTCAGATCCAAGATAGAGGAATTTAAAAAACAAAATAATTAACTAAACAATGTAAAAGCGAAGCCAAAAACATCAACTCTCTTTTTTCCCTCTCTCTTTGTATCACCTTGAGTGTTCCAAGAGCTATTCACATAAACATTATAATACTATAAATTTGTATTCATCCGTATCAGGAATCTCAAGCATCAATATGTATGAAGAAAAAAGATATTTTAGTTTGATTAGTGACTCCTTTTTTATGAAGTAATTAACCATAGTGATATTAATTTAACAATGTATTTGGAGATAATAAATTGGCTTAAAACTTTAGGGTCAAAAAAACAAATTTTACTTAAAACTTTCATTATATTAGGCTAAGCAACATTCGGGGATAATAATTTTCTTTTCTTTTGTGTGTTAGTATGTATAAAATTCCATAGAATTGAAAAAAAAAAAAATAAGAGTTTTAAACAATTATCTCAAAAAGTTATTTTTCCTTTCTTTGTATAGAGCTTTCAAATAATAGAAAAGTTAACCTAAAATTCTTTATTTAAGCTTTTAACCTAAACATATGCTTAGTTGGCCATATAAAAAAGTATATTAGAAGTTCAATAAAACATACTTTCATTATTAAAATTATAAAATATCGATTATTTAAAGTAATAGTTTGAATTGCCATATGTTGTTGTTTTAGACTTTTAGTATGATAACGGATTACTATCTATTTGTGACTTTGTTGTTCCTAAAATGAAGTTATATTAGGAAACTTTCTATATAAGATCTATTTTTGTGTAAGAAACTTTCAATATAAGCATTTAACAATGTACCGTGCTTGTATCTCAAGGTCACGTTTATCTTCCACACAAAAATGTTGTGCAAAACCTCACAATTGGTTTTACTTGTCCTAGTTTCTTTCTCTACTTTGTTTGCATCTTGTTCTGATGCTTATCCTCTCGCAATCCACAATAGATGGATCATAGATGATTCCATTGAAGGACCTTGTAACTCAGGTTGTTAAACACAAGTTTAATTGTGTTCATCTCACATATGCAATATATATGTGGACACGCTATGACAATCATATTGTGGAAGATACCTTGAAGACTTTGGACATACCAGAGGTGGTGGAAGGGATAGCCAAAACCAACCCTTCTTTGTTGAAAATGACACAAATAAAAGCTTTTGAAATGGTGGTTAAATTAGAGAACTTGGAGCTCAAAATGTGAAGGTGTTGCTAGATAACCATGTTAGCGAGCCAAAATGGTGATATAATGATGATGATGATGATGAGAATGGCTTCTTTAATGATAGACATTTTAATCCCTTGGAATGGATGCAAGGCCTTAGTTTAGCAGCCAAACACTTTGCTAAAAATTCTGCTGTATGTATTATATGATGATTTACATTGCTATCTACTATAAAGCCAAGTTCTATGTTCATGGACAAATAGGATGTGACATAAATGTTTGTTGTGATTGATTTTGTTAAAAATAGGTGGTGGCAATGAACTTGAGGAATGAATTGCATGTACACGCCAGAATGAGGTTGATTGGTACAATTACATAACCCAAGGGAGAACATTTTTGGTACTACCATCGCACTGAGTACGGGGTACGACTCCCATTCAAAACGAAATTACAAATTATGTATTTTTCAAAATACATAAATATAATATTAAAATTATTTTTTCCTTCTTGGGAAAACATATCAGTTGATTTATTATGCTTCTATTGGTGAGATGTAGCTAGGTAATAGGTACAATGTAGTATATTCAATTTTTTCGACCAGAGGAGCAAT